CGCTGCTGCCAATGCGCCGAATCGGTTTTTCATGAGTGGTAACTCCGGTTTGGAGCCCCAAGGTGCCGATCTCGCGGGCGAGGTTCTCGACCCGCCTGCGAGCTGCAAGGCGGGGATGACTTTTCTCTCTCTCCGGCCTGGGGACGAGGCCTGGCTGTTTGGGGGGTTCTGGGGCCTGGAGGCCTTTCCTTGGTGGGGGCGCCCATCCTGCGGAGAGGCCTTGACCGGGTTCGGGGCAGGGTGGCGAGGTGGAAGTAGTGGTTGGTTTGGTGGCAGTTGGGGGAACTGCTGTTGATAGTGATACTGGGAGAGGTTGTGCAACACTTGGTGCTGGTGAAGTTGGTGTTGCTGGAACTGTTGCATCTGGGCTTGCATTGCCCGCATGCACTGCATCAGGTCGTCCAACCGATTTTGGCTAGCTTCCAGGGGAACGGCGGTTGGTTCAGCGAAGGTAGTCTCGATGGGGGGAGGAAAGGGGATGTTTGCGTCAGGAAGGCTTACAGGCGCCACTGCTTGTGGCGTATTCAGATTGGGAATTCCGTCCACCGAGCGGGGGATGGTGAACTGCCCAACGCACACCACAGGAACTTGAGGCTGTTCCCCGGTGGTGTTTGTCTCTGTGCCGCRTCYGGCGTTGYTRGAAGAGGCCATGAGTGTTGAGTTTTTCAAAGAAGAAGAAAGGGGTATGARAGTTTGGAGGGAGGCCTTTTGAAGCGTTCCCACAGACGGCGCCAATTGATGATGCACAATCTGGTCGATCTTAGCTATCAACGGTCTTGCCTCTGAACTGAGTGGTCGGGGACCTGAAACGGAGGGGGTGAAGAAAATCCGGGGAGAACCCGGCGTAAGGGCTCCGAAGCTCAAGTTAGAGTCTTTCAAAGGCAAGATAAGCCAGATAGCGCAAAAATTAGCATACCTTGTTCTTGGGGGGTAGGGAGCCTTTTATAACCACCTCGCGCACTCACTTCCAGGCTTCTGTCAGATCGGGCATGATTATCTCTGAGCTCCTGCCAGTTCGGATGTCATTCCCTTTGGCCGGACAGAACCGCCACAGCTCCTTTTGTCGGAGCCGTCTCTGCGGCTGGTAACGACGATGGCAGGTGGCGGTAGCAGGAGGCCATTTGAAGTGCGGCTGTCAGGTGTCAGATCCCAAACAGTCAGGTGCGCCGCCCTTGGATACGGACGTCCTTGGTGTCAGGTACGTTTGGTCAGTCTGGTGTTTCGGAAGCGAAGTGCTGGAGTGGCGAGCGAGATGTCTTGAGTTCGGTTTGGGGAGTGTTCCGAGCTGCCATGGGCCAGCTCGGGTCACGGCTTTGTGAGGCTTAGGACCCGAGATAGTTCGGGCTCCTTGCAGGGAGCTCGGGTTCTTAGTAGGGAGCTCGGGTTCTTAATAGGGAGCTCGGACTCCTAGTAGAGAGTAGAGAATCCGGTCTGGTGGAGTTCGGGCTCAGTAGTGAGCTTGGACTTCGTTACTTTCGGTGCTCGTTTTGGGCGCCCTGCTGCCCCGAATTGCTTGCTTTTGCCACGTGTCGAGTGATTCCGGGGTCGGGCCAAATTTCCCTTCATCAGTTTGAATTAGGGGTAGAGCTAGGATTTTTTTCTTGAAGGGGCTAAAAGGTAGGAAACATGGGTAAAGGGGATCAAAATATAAATGAGATTTAAATGAGTATTATGGGGAGTTTAAATGCATGGGGAGCTCCCCTCCACACTCCTTGTTTCTGCCCGTGGTTCGAATGACTCCTTTAGTTTTTATGGGTAATGTTTATCAATTGTCATTTTGAATATATATATATATATATATATATACATATATATATGGGTAAATTTCTTAAACTACCCTTATGGTTTAGTTAATTGACTAAATGTATCCTTACTATTTGAAAATTGACTGATGCTATCCTTATTGTTTCTGTCAATTGACTAACTCTATTCTTACCGTTAACTTCCGTAAAAAACAATGCAAAAGGCCTAAACTACCCTTCGGAGTTCAGATGCTATTGCCGTTGGGTGGAGTTACAGAACGGTGCCGCCGCCGTTGCCCAGGAAGAAGATAAAGAGATCAGACTTCAAATGTGTCGTTGCCCAGAGGAAGAATGAAAAGGATGAAATGTCTACCTTTAAGTTAAAAGAAAAACTCCTTCCCTAACCTCTTCTCCCCTCTTTTGAATGTTAAATATTGAACCGGCCGGAGTTTGCATAGATGAGTTTGAGTCTGGGATCTAGAGTGGCATGAGTCTCTGCAATGTGTAGATCGGCCAAATAAGTTTTGAGTCTGAGATTTCCAGTGATGTACAGCATGAGCCGGATTTCTAGAGCGGAGGATGAGATCTGGATTGTATCTGTTGCGATGTGCAGCATAATCTAAGTTTGAGATCTGTTGTATCAGATTTTGGCAGGTCTGAGATCTCTGGTCAGATACAGACCAACTAAGTTGGTGGTGGCATTGTTTCTGAGTTGAAGAGGATTGAAGTTTTGGAGCAGGAAAAGTCTGGGTTGCTGCACGATAAGGGGGATAACGATGAGAAAATCAAGCTTCTCACGGAGGAGATTGAATGATTCAAGAAGAATCATGGGTTCTGCTTCCAAGGATGCATCAATGGAGGAAAATGTGTTCAGGGTGTTACATGGACAACAAGTTCTACGTGATCAAAGGGCAAAACGAAAGAGGAGTTGATCTCACCTACGGTGAGTTCTATGATGTAGATAGGAACGCATGGGAGCTAGTTCCAGACATGTTGAAGGATGCCCCTGTTTCGACATCGCGATCTCCACCCCTTGTTGCTGTTGTGAACAACGAACTCTGCTCACTCGAAGCTTCATGAAACCATCTGAAGATTTACTTGAAGAAGAGCAACTCGTGGAAGGATTTGGGGATGGTTCATGTGAGAGCCCATCAGAACAGGGCACTTTGAGCATTAAATTTTTAGTTAATCAAAATAATGGTATAAAGACGGTTGTAAAATCAGAGTGCTATCAGAACCCTATGAACCTTATGGTTTAGCTTTGGCTTACTCCGCGTCCGCTTTAGGTGCTAAATCCAAATCACTATCAGTTCATTTTGAGTTTTAGAACAGAGAAGAGGTCTTCTCCATTCTCTTCGACATCACTGTCATTACAACAGCAACTGACGTTGGCCAGATCTCACAGTAGCTTATTCCCACCAAACAATGGCGCCCCTCTTGTTCTCTTCTCCGGAACCGCCGCAACTGGACAGGTCTATCTCCTCAGACATCGTCTCCTTTGAGAATCCTCGTATTATTGGTGAAAAAGAAGGGGAGAGAGGTGATGGGTAAAATTGAGTTTTAAAAAATATATATCACATGCGAATGAGTTTTGACAGAATATTAACAGAATTTAACGGTAAGGGTAGAGTTAGTCAATTGTTAAAGACAGTAGGGATAGCGTTAGTCAATTTTCAAATAGTAAGGGTACACTTGGTCAATTAGCTAAACCATAAGGATAGTTTAAGAAATTTACCCTATATATATATATATATATATATATTCTGATTATTTCAAGTTTGGATTTTAAATAAGTCCATGGGCATGGGTGTCCTTTTTTGAACCCAAAGCCCTTACTCATTACCAAAAAATAAATAAATAAATTGACCCCTACTATTTTGTTTGAATGGGGGCAATTGTGCAAAATTACTTGCATCTTAATCATAATATATATATATATATATATATATATATATATATATTAATATATGACACATCATCATGATTGAACCTCCATTGAACTTCTAACATGTAATACTCTCCCTTTTCTAATTCTATGTATCATCCAATTCTTTGAAGATTAATTAATTCCTGATTAGTAATTAAAAGAGAAAATTCCTGATTAGCACAAATATTTATGTAGTAGCTATAATTAAAAGAGAAAATTCCTGATTAGCACAAATATTTATGTAGTAGCTATAATTAACCAGTCCTAACAATGGTGAATCAAGGTGGTTTACCCCATACTTTAAAATTTTTGAAAATATCAAAATTGTCCTTCAAAATATATAATTTTCTTCCTCGATTGAACCAAAGCAATGATAAACAACCCCAAACCCATCAAGAATCCAATAAATATGATAATCGCTTTTTTCCCAGTGGTTTTGTTTGATGGGGAGCGCGAAAGAAGAAATCAATCTGGGCAACGTCAGCATACATCTATCTTTGGAGCAGAAGAATTTCCAAACTTTCTGAGCCAACAAATTGGAATTCTAGCAAAAATTCTGGTTATGCTGGCCCTGTCCCATGGTTGTCAGCTCGAGGTCTGATCCATTGTACCAACTACCAAGCAATGGTTTGAACTTTGGGGTTTCGCCCTTTAATTTATGGTTATTTTTTGAAACCTTGAGTACCCATACTCCCGTGGCCCATGTGCGCATGGGATTCAAGAAGAAAATTCTCGCCAGAAAAAATGCCGGAAGACCGACCGTTTAGAAAATTCGGAAAATAGGAGAAGAGGCTCAATGCAGCAGCCACTGCAGAGCTTTAAAGAATTACCAAAGTCCTTGGTATGTAAAGTTGGGACATTTATAAAAATAAATACAGCCAAAATCTCGATTTTAGAAAGAAAATAATTGCAATTTGCGAAAAAAAGAAAGATTCCAATAAGAATGACTCCAAGGAAGGTCTCAGTGACGGACTGAAAAATGCCCGTAGGAAATTGATAGACGATCACGGCAAAGATTGCAAGATCAAAAAGACTCTGCTCAGAAAATATGGCGAAAAATCGAAACGCTTAAAGATAACTACCACTTTCCACAAAAATTTTATTTTTCTCGAAGATCTAAATAATAACCACTCGTGACTCGTCTGTCTGTATTTTATCACTCACGTGGGGCGTTGCCACTTGCCACTGATTCCACAGCCTGCAACACATCGAAAGCGTTCAGCCAATCTGAATTACTTGGGAATTAGGAAATCCTTTTTGAGTTTCGCACATTGAGATCTGGATAGAGACGACTAGCATTGGTGAGGAGAGTTCTCAGTTCTGGCAAGTAATTCGAACCAGTAAACCCAGAACCCTAACCCTTGCATTTGCTCTTCCCTGGAGCTCATGGCTCATGGGGGGGCATCACCGGCCACCGGGGTTTGATTATCTCACCGTCACCGATGGGATTGTGAGACTACCCTTGTCTAGAATTATTATCACCTCCGTAGAGCTCTTTCTACCTTTTCTATTTGCCAAACATCAAGGGCATCAAAGTGTCCATTGTCTTCAGGTTTTTGCATTATCTTCCCAAGTTGGGCTTTTAAACTCGGTGCTCTGACTTCATTGACTAGTGAATGGACCTAAGGAAAATTTCATGTCTTCCATTTTGAGAAAGGAGGGAATGATAGATAAGAAATGCCCCCCCTAACTCCCCGCTTCAATGCAATATTCCCTTTTGCTTCTTACTCTGCCTAAATATCGTAATCTAATTACCAATGTATGATCTAGAAGATGACGAAGAAGACCCACTAGCAGGCATCCTTCGCCTAGCCAGAGGACAAGAGTTTCTTGGCAAAGGATACAGGATACTTCATCATGGGATCCACCGCTTGGTGTCGATGAATCCGAAACTTAGTGTTCCCCAAATTCTGCATACAGCTTTACTAACAGTTCATCCGGATTCCGGAGGGAGAGTCGGATGAGGCAAACGTCTATAGTTCAAATTTTGGTACATGATTTCAAGCTGGAGTGATGTGTCCATCCACATTACAGTCACAGACAGACTCGTTAGTGGGGAACTGCTTGTAAGAGTGAATGGGGAACTGCTTTTGGCTTTTAAAGCAATCACTGCTCAATTCGACATGACTCGTTAGTGGAACTGGAACCCCACCACTGATGTACTCACCAGAATGAGGAGATGTAGTAGTGTCTCATCTATGACAAGCCCGCCGGTGAGGATTCAACCCCCAATCCCGGTGATGTTCCGGTGAGAACCACGAGCTCCGGGGAACAGCAAGGGCAGGGATTAGGGTTTTATGTTTATTGTGGAAAAAAGCTTTGACTGTCTATTTGAAAAATGGGGCTTTCTCTTCAATTACTTTTTTACCCCGCATCCATGTAAACGTGTCATGCAGATGAGGCTTAAGAAGTGCCACGCTGTTCTTTGTTTCGCACATGGCAAAGCAGAGCTGGGGTTGAAAGTTAGAAGACAGGTGGCAATAGGAGCTTCATTGGGGAGAGAAATGGGGTAGTGTGCCATGTGGGTAGCAGATAGGGAGCCGCGTCGCCCAACATGGCTTCAAAATCAATACGTCTCATCTTCTTTTAACCGTCCAGTCTAGGTTTTGTTCGTTGAATTGAACCAATACCACCTGCTTCATCAATTACTGGATCATTGCCCTAGACACCCCTCCCAACCTCGACCACCTCTTCCCTCCACCCACACCACCTCCTTTGGTCTCTCTCCCCTCTGCTGCAGCCTGCAAGCTGCAACTCCCCCCCAAAACCCAAAACCCAAGTTCACAAAGAGAAAAAGAAGAGAAAGTTTTAGATACTCTAGGGTTTCCATGTAATCTTCTTTTACCATTGTTCTATGTCTGCAATCTCTCAAAATAAACCCTAGAAGTCACAACTCTTTTTCCATCTCTACTCCGAAGAGACTCACCACTACGAGGTTGTTTTACAGTTGAGCAGCTGGAGTACGTCATCCCCGAGTTTTCTTTTTGTCAGCAATCAATGTCGGTCAGTTCTCTCCTTTGTTCTTCTAATTTTAATTTCGTATAATGAGTAGTCTACTTGCTTTTTATTCGAGATTATAGAGGGAAATCTGGGTCTAGATCATTCATGGAGTTCGAACCGTTGAACATGGAAAACGAGGTTATCGAATTCGATATGCCCATGGGAGATGAAACCGTGGACATTGAGCATCCCGTAGATGACGATGAAATGATCGAGAGTTCCGGTGGTCGGGAACTATATATTCCTGAGGGTGATACGAATCTTGAACCTTACGAAGGGATGGAATTTGAATCGGAAGAGGCCGCCAAGGCTTTCTATAATTCATATGCGCGGCGTGTTGGATTTAGCACCCGTGTCAGCATGTCCCGTCGCTCAAGGCGGGACGGTGCCATCATACAGAGATCCTTCGTATGTGCTAAGGAAGGATTTCGGGTTGAGAAAGAGAAGCCGGGCAGTGATGGCAAGGTTAAACGCCCCCGAGCTATCACCAGAGTAGGTTGCAAGGCTATGTTGGTAGTGAAAATACAAGATTCTGGGAAATGGGTTGTATCTGGGTTCGAAAAGGAGCATAATCATGAGCTGGTCCCGCCGGATAAAGTCCATTGCCTTCGGTCCCATAGGCATGTCTCTGGCTCTGCTAAGTCCTTGATCGATACCTTGCAGGGGGCTGGGATTGGCCCGAGTGGRATCATGTCTGTGTTGATAAAAGAATATGGGGGWATTAGCAAYGTTGGATTCACAGARCGAGACTGTAGGAATTATATGAGAAGTAGTCGCCAGAGRACACTTGGTGGAGACACCCAGATTCTTWTAGACTATTTGAAGCACATGCACGCCCRGAACCCATCATTCTTTTATGCYGTACAGGGTGATGAGGAYCAGTGTATGAGYAATATCTTCTGGGCTGATCCCAAGGCCAGGAWGAATTATACTTATTTTGGAGACACAGTTACCTTTGACACAACTTACAGGTCAAATCGGTACCGTTTGCCATTTGCTCCATTCACTGGCATAAACCATCATGGACAGCCTGTTTTGTTTGGCTGTGCTCTTCTTATAAATGAATCTGAAACATCATTCGTTTGGCTGTTCAAGACATGGCTTACAGCAATGTCAGGTCACCCTCCAGTCTCAATCACAACAGATCATGATAGAGTGATACGGTCAGCCATCACACAAGTGATTCCAAATACTCGCCATCGTTTCTGTAAGTGGCATATATTTAAAGAAGGTCAGGAGAAGTTGTCTCATGTGTATCTTGAACATCCAAATTTTGAAGCAGAGTTCCACAAATGTGTAAATCTGACTGAGTCAATTGAGGAGTTTGAGTCTTGTTGGTTGTCCCTTATTGATAAATATGATCTCAGAGAGAATGAATGGCTTCAGGCTATATACAATGCTCGGCGGCAATGGGTCCCAGTATACTTGCGTGACACATTCTTTGCTGAAATGTCTATAACCCAACGGAGTGATAGCATGAATTCGTATTTTGATGGGTATATAAATGCTTCAACCACCCTACAGCTGTTGGTTAAGCAGTACGAAAAGACACTTGAGAGTCGGTATGAGAAAGAAGTCAAAGCTGATTATGATACAATGAACACTGCCCCCATTCTCAAGACTCCATCACCTATGGAGAAACAAGCAGCAGAAGTTTACACGAGAAAATTATTTATGAAGTTTCAAGAGGAGTTAGTTGAGACTCTTACTTTCATGGCTACCAAGATGGAGGATGAAGGGACAGTTAACATATACCGAGTAGCGAAGTTTGGAGAAGACCATAAGGCTTACATTGTTAGGTTCAATGTGCTTGAGATGAAGGCCACATGTAGCTGCCAGATGTTTGAGTTCTCAGGCCTTCTTTGTAGACATATATTGACAGTCTTTAGGGTCACAAATGTTCTTACTCTTCCATCTCAATATGTTTTGAAACGGTGGACAAGAAATGCCAAGAGTGGTGTTGTATTAGAAGAACGTGCCAGTGATTTGTTAAACAGTTGTCGTGAATCTCTTACTGTCCGATACAATAATTTACGTCATGAAGCCCTTAAGTATGTAGATGAAGGAGTAAAAACTATAGATATTTACCATGTAGCAATGGGTGCTCTACAAGAGGCTGCTAAAAAGGTTGCTCTTGCAAAGAAGAGTGGTGGGAGGATTCCTATGGTCAATGGAACAAACCAGGTGGATATTTTTAATGATGGAAGTCAGGCCAGTTATGCCACTGGGAGTAATCAATGGGGTTTCGGTCAACCTCAGACTATGGTCAGTTATCTTTTCTCTTTGCAGTCTCTTGCACTCTCTCTCATTCATTTTAGATATTGATATTTCACATTTCCTTTACTGATAGGCAAATAACATGGTTAAACTTTTTTTTTTAGAAAGCAGATGTGATTTTGGAAGCTTGATTTTGGGGAAATTCTTTTAGTAAGAGAATTTGGGTCTTTTTCTTCTTTGTGCTAAGTATAGGTGATAAGATATGATAAACATGTTATTTTTCCTAAATTTAAGGAATCTTTAGAATCCTACATGATCCTACTATCATGTTTATCATTATCATCATTTTCAATAGTAAGCATTTAATAACACTTCCTAATTTGGGTGATATGCATTCTTTTTAGCCCTTTTGAGATATATTTCCAAAATAAAAGTGCAACCTGTTTCTAAAAATTATCCTACACTATCTCACCTTTGATCTTATTATATATTTCATTTCATGGGCCTGTCACAAAGCCCTTAAATCATAAAAGTACAAAATCTAAACATAGGCCTTTGTGCAAATATACAGGGTTGTGGGGTTTTCGTATTTTGCCCTGTTGTAATTCATCACGAACTCCATGATAACACTTCTCCAACATTAGCATTTGTTCTTTTTAACATGTTTATCTAAAATGTATCTAGTTAAATATGTTCCACTGATTCCTATAAATATATACATATCAGAAATGTATGTATTTTATGTATTTGATCTTAGCTTTTCAGTCTTATTGATTTCCACCCTTGCTGTGGAAGCAAATGCAGCTACACTATCTCACCTTTGATCTTATTATATATTTCATTTCATGGGCCTATCACAAAGCCCTTAAATCATAAAAGTACAAAATGTAAACAGAGGCCTTTGTGCATATATACAGGGTTTTGGGGTTTTAGTGTTTTGCCCTGTTGTAATTCATCATGAACTTCATGATAACACTTCTCCAACATTAGCATTTTTTCTTTTTAACATGGTTATCTAAAATGTATTTAGTTAAATATGTTCCACTGATTCCTATAAATATATACATATCAGAAATGTATGTATTTATGTATGTGGTCTTAGCTTTTCAGTCTTATTGATTTCCACCCTTGCTGTGGAAGCAAAAGCAGCCTGAGTAGAAGATTCTTAGGTGTCTCCTTTTATATTGAGAATTATGTAATCATGATATCCACTGACTGGTCGACATGAAAAGATCTGTCTCATAGACTGATCCAGTGAAGCCAGTATCTTACATTCAGCATGGATCTAAAATATCTTGCTACCACCAAATTTTTCTCTGGTGATGTTTTTTATTATGAGAATATTGAAGTTCAGAGTTCTCTACTGCTATATTACTGGTTCAATTGTGATTCCATCCTCTGATATAATTAGTTATGCAATTTTATTTTTCCTCCTTTTATTATTCAAATCACATTATGGTGCCCATGCTTACTTCTCGTCATAATTAAATTTGTTAGTTCTAAGTTATGTTCTTTTTCTTTATTCTGGGAACATGTAGTATTTCTATTGGCTTTTTGCTATCTTTTTGGATATTTGAAATTGTTGATTCATATTTAAAATATTATAATGAGATCTTTTATGGTTGGTCGCTTTCTTACCAAAAAAGAAAATATATATGGTTGGTGGCTGAATGATGGAAATTATGTTCCAGTTAGTAAGACTATGCCAAGATTTTGGATTTTATATCTAACTTATGAACCAAGCATGCTATTATACTTTCGTTATACTGTGATCATGATAGCCTAAACTTGTTTGGTCTTCCTTAACAGTTAGCATTCAGACCATCTTACAATATATAATGGTTGAATCAAAGACCACTGCAATTTTGAGTATCCAAGTGTTTGCACTGGTGTGCAATTTGGGCAGGCCCAACCCAAACCCAGATCAACCCAGCCCACAATTTTACACGGGTTGGGCCCAAAAGTTTGAGTTTTTTATTTTTTGGACTGAACCCCGGCTTAACCCTTAGGTAGCTCAAACTCGGCCTGAGCCCAGCTTGACTATATACATGTATATTATGCATATATAGACACACACACACACACATATATGCATACATGCATACATATACATGTAGATTGATATCAATTTTTAGTGTGGACTGATTGAGCAACCTGTACCTGAGCCTAACCAGAGTGCATCAAATTTCAATACAGGCTGGGCCAGCCTGCTCGACTTGCACCCCTAGTTTGAACAAGGATCAGTTTAGTATCATTTTTAATTGGGCCAGTTCTTAGAGTGATCAGTGATGCTTTATCATTTCATTGATTGGGGGGTGGGGGAGAGGCATCTAATCATTTCCTTGTATGAGACAATGTGTTTTTCTATGGTGACTGTTTTTTATACCATATTATTTTCCTTTATAGGATGAAAAGGACAAGAAAATTGAGGAACTATCTCGTGAGCTTGACCGAGCAAATCGGAAATGTGAAGTCTATCGAGCAAATCTACTCACAGTTTTGAAAGACATTGAAGAGCAGAAGCTACAACTCTCAGTTAAAGTTCAAAACATAAAGCTCGGCATGAAGGATTGAACTCTGAAGGTACAAGACAGTGTTAACGTTTTTTTACCTTTCCCTTCACTCATACAGAGAAGAAAAATGCTAATACTATATTTCATATAGTGGAAGGTTTTTGGTCGCTATTCAGATATGAACTCTTGTTATTTCGAAGTTTCTGGATATGGATGTCCATGTATATTCACATCGACGATCTCAGATCTCTCTCTATATATATGATTGGCCATTGTTGTATCAAACATCCCACACCATCGCAATGATTGAACATGTAGATGAAGCATCATTGCAGGCAAGTAGTATGTGTGGCCGGCGCTTGGTGACCGCCACAAGTGGAACTTGATCTTGATCAGCTCCGACACCCCGAGTTAAAAGGTTTTGTGACTTATTTTATGTCGATGTACATATTAATTTTCTTGAAGAATTTGACGGTTTTTTTTTTTTTGGTTCTTTTCATTGTGTTAGTTGAAATTGTATGCATCACTTTTTGTGCAAATCTTCTTGTGTATCTTATAGTTGGGCATGTTTATTATTTTGTTATGTCTGGATCAATTACTCTTTTTTCCTTTTACCTTTCCTTCTTTATTTCTTTCTGTTTTTTTTTTTTTGGTATCAAATACCATACACCAAAACAGCTCTCCACTTTTAGAGGTTTCAGTCGATACTTTTATGTACCACCCCTCTAATTACATTGACCACCAAACTAGGGACACAATTGAGACAGGAAAATTATTTTAACTAAATTCTTTCAAAAGTTAGTTTTGTGATAGAAATTTGTCCCCTTGAAAACTAAATTAAAGTATTTTGTCCATGTAATATAAAAAAGGGTAAATTGCTGAAATCTCACCTCTGGTGAAATTTGGTAACTTTCTGACATATAGTTGTTAGTAGACCCTTTATATTAGAATCCTCTAAAAAGAGGCATGAAGAGGATATGAAAAGGAAAATACATCTGCCATGAGATCCATGGTATCGGATCAACACCCTCTATTTCATGGTGAATTCCCCGTCCAGGCAATGATTAAAATTTATTATTCATTGCTGAAATTTGGAAAATTCAACAATTACTTGTTTTGCCTACAATTTGGGATTTAATTAAAATTATTACATCTCACTTACACTAACATAATTATAGAACACTAAATAATATTAGTAATAATAAAAAACAAAAGCACATAAAAAGATCCCAAGGGGCTGTTTAGTTTTATAAACGAGAAATTGCATGGTGCGTGTGAATCCACTAGGCCCCACTGTCGTGAATCGCAGTATCGCACCATTCATGGTTGTAGTTGTAGATACTTGGCATAGTTTTTATTTTTTAATAAAAAATCTTAGTCTTATATTGCATTAGTCTACAAGAAGGTTTTGTACCATATTATGAACTGATCCACGACATTTAAGCAGACAAAAAATTGCAAAATAATATGAATCAATAGAACTGTTTCCCTAGCTTCCCAGATTTGGAAAGCTATAAGCAAAGCTATTAGGGAATTATTTCCAAATCTGGGGCTTCAGATTTGTAGCCATTCAACAGCTAACATCTGGAATTGTCCTTGGATCTTTGATGGTAAGTTTTTTCGAACACCTATGGCTATGGATACCCCAAATAAATGTGATAAGAACTTTGATGATAAAAGATCTAATAAACAAAGGGGGATGGGATAGTAGGAAGCTTCTTCAATTGTTCCATGTCGAGGAGTTAAAATGCAGGGGTAATAACATATAAGGGCAACTTTTGGGGTTTAATATCAAAAAAAGTAATATTTTTAAAAAAATTTCAAAAATAGATTAACTTTTTAGAAATAATATCAATAAAGGGCAAAACACTGTTCATCATCTTCTTCTTGCCATTTATTCACTAGTACTGTCGTTCGTTGTCGCCTGCCATTGTTGTTCGCTGCCGCCCGCCGCCGCCTCTGCCTTTGGCAACGTTGCCAGAGGTGGCTGGAGGCGGCACTGGTGGTCATTCCTCTACCCAGCGCTGCCGCCGCCACCTCTACCTCCGGCCACCTCCGGCAACGTTGTCGGAGGCGACGGCGGTGGGTAGCAGCACTGGTGAACAAATGGCAAGAAGAAGATAATGAACAATGTTTTGTCCTTTATTGATATTATTTTTAAAAAGTTCACCTATTTTTAATTTTTTTTAAATATTACTTTATTGATATTAAACCCCAAAAGTTGCCCTTATATGCATGCTATTCCAAAATACATACATATGTAAAGATCCCTCTCTCAGGATAAATTTATATGGTTAGCTTCTCCTAAAGGTGTTTTTACTGTGAGTTGTTCTTATAATCTCCGCCGGAGAAGTTCCAATCCTCGTCGGTAGGAAAATGCTCTTCAGTTAATCAAGAAAATGTGGAGAGTCAAAGTTCCTATGAAATTTAGGTTGATTTTATGGAAACTAGTTAGAGGCTTTGTTAAGATAAAGGGAGAACGACTTCAGTCACTACAAGTCTACATTCACACAGTTCGAACAGTCTCTTGCAATCTTGTATTGGGAATATCTTCCCATGAAATAAAGCACATAAGTATGGAGATATTCCCAATACAAAGCTGTAAAGTTTGTTCCAATGGACATTGCACTGACCAAAGCCGAACTTAGATAAAGGTAGGTCTTGCAGATATTGGTCTTCTTGTTGATTGGTCTTGTCCTTTTTGTGAGATGGATGATAAATTTATGCATTATTTTGGAGATAAGTAGACTGACTCCACCTTAGAATTCTAAATTCCATTGCAGACCTACAACGATTCAAAATTTCAAACACCTCCACCTAAACACCAATACCCACCCATGCATTGGCATCAATTCTAAGCTAGCACCTACCCCAACTGTATGGTAGAACTAAGATTTGTGGATTGAACAGTAAAAAAACCCATTTATTTTGTTTGTCCTGTCACTAGAGCTGTCGTGATTGATTCGCCTTGGGGTATTACAATCCCCACCAGTATATTTTCAGTCATTTGCTGATTATTTGTGTAAGCTTCTCAAGTCTTTTGCTTTCACGTTTTAATATTTTTTTATTTGGACATCAAGAAATAATTCTGTGTTTAACAATATTTTTATTTCAACTGATAGAAAAATTAAGTCTTGTAATTACCATGGGTAAGGTAGAGGTTGGTTAGTCTCCAAAGGTCCAGAGATGGCAGCGGAAAAGAGAGAGGACGTGAGGAAGAGAGGAAAGAGAGGAGAGGGAGAGAGAGAAAGAGGAACCTCTTGAGAAACCCTAGGTCAGAATTATGATTGTGTTGTCTTGGGGAATGATTGCTTTCCCCTTTTATAGAGAGAAAATTAAGGTTATCAGAGGAGTTCTCCTATTAGAAAATGAGTTCTTATTAAGAGATCATTATTAGAGAATCATATCCCTCAGGAATTCTCTCCGTATGTGACCCTGTTATACTGACATGTCATGGATGATGTCATCGTTCGATGTGTATATCTGCATGCATAATTAAAAGACGCATGTGCAACTGGTATCTATTCCCGTCTTACTGTGATCTGCGATTCTACAATGGTGTCAGGTTCATCGTAGTTTTATGCGTGTTCAGGTTCATCACAATCACGGATTTATGATGAATTCATCGCAATCGTGCGATAGGTTCTGAATTCATCGCAGGCGTCTGTATAATATTAGTTTGACATTTTTTGTACTCAGAAGGTCTTAGTGACCACTATGTACCTATAATTCTATTTCTATAACTATTCTGAAAATAAATGATGGGCAAATTTTTTAAACTACTGATATTGTTTAACTAATTCACAAATTGTATCTTTACTATTTAATTATTATCTTAAAGTATATTTAAATTTTCTGAAAATTGAGTAATTACCTTCCTGCCGTTAGGGTTCCATTACAATCCATCGTAATTCGATTACATGTCACACCAAGTAGCTGTTATATTTTGAAAAAGTGGCAGTAATACGCTTTTCGTTTCCGTATTGAAAACAGAGAAGATCTCTCCACTGCAACCTTTAAGCAAGTTTTGAAGCTCTTTTGTACCGTCTTTGTGGTCATTCTTCTCGTTGTCGTCGTGTTTCGGCCGACAGGGACATGCGCCTGGAGGTATTTTTTCTCGCCGCCGATATAGTACTCCTGGGGACCATCGAAATCATCGTTAGAGCCGAGACTAGAAGCACAATTCAGATCAGCAAGTGTAAAGATGCACCATGAATCTTGTCCTTGGTGATTGTGAGGATTTTCAGAAGCTCCCACCTGCGAAAGAAAAGAAGAATAAGAGCGTAAAGAACGAAGAACCTTCTCTTTGTTTTTCGTTTTGTTTTTGACTTCTTCTCCCTCTTATTTTCTCTCTAATTTGAAAATTGCAGGTCAAGCATTTGTTCGGCGCAAAGGGTCAAACTTGCATCGTCGAGTTTCATCGATCTGGTTGCAGACTTTGGAGGACGGAGGACGGAGGTCAGAGGGTCTAGTTGTAGAAAGAGCTCTCTTTCTTGCATCATCGAGTTTCGTCAGTTTGGTTGTAGACTTGGAGAACGGAGGGTCGAGCTTCAATTCGGCACAGAGGATAAGAGGGAGCATAATCGTCGATCTGGTTGCAGACTTGGAGGACGGACTTCAGTTCAGCACAGAGGATGAGAGAGAGCAGAGCAGAGTCATTGGTCTGGTTGCAAACTTGGACGAAGGGTCTAAATTTCAGTTCCGCTGCTGCTAATGCCCCGGATGTAGCAACCACACCTATGGTTTGTCCCTAGAGAAAGCGGTGAGCTTCTTCCCTCTGCATATCAGCGAGGAGAAGAAGTCGAAAACAAAACCAAACATGAAGAGAGGGTTCTCGGTTCTTCTCCCTCTTATTTTCTCTCTGTCACCCATCACTTCCTCTTTTCGTGTGCCTCAACACCCCACTTGGTTCATCTGGCGAGCAGTGTCAAGGGAACAATGGCGACTACAAAGTCAAGACTGCATAGTCAAGAGCTACAACTCATTCCAACTCCTACCGGATCTGCAACTCAATCACTATTTCGCTTGCATCACCCTTGGAGAATTGCCTTATAAAACCTTGAGACCTTGAGAATGAATCGGAGGAAGATCCCCTTTTCTGCTAAAAACTTTCATGTCTCCTCCGTCCCAAAGATGGGTCGATATTTTGAAAATTCAAGAAATGATGGAAGGTAAATTTTACATTTTTCTTTTTTATGACAATTGTGCAATAGGGATACTTTAAGAAATTTGCCCTTAAATGATCCACTTATTCATCCTTCCTCTGAGGCAAAGGATCTCTTAAGTATCAAAGCCGCCTTCTTATTTGCTTCTTACTCAGTTTGAAGTCATTATTCAATGCGATGGAAGTGTAATCAGGGGATGGGTATCTCCTTTGGAATGTGTTTGAATCTATTAATTCTTTTCTTCTGTATGCACGAGGGAGAAAATCTCTATAAGGAAAACCAATTGCAGCAGAACTTTTTGCGATCTACTCTGCTCTGCTGCTGGTTAAAGAAAGAAAATGGAAGAGAAATATTATTTTGTCCGATGCAAAATTGGTAAGAGTTTCTGGAAAAGGGATGACCTTTATCGTGGGATATTTCACTTTTGTAAAGTTAGTTATATTCATACTGTCTAATTGGGTTGCCCATGCATTATTAGCTAAGCGTTCTAAATCTTTGGATATAGATAATGGTGTGTTGCGACAGCCCTCCATGTATTGAACCTGTGTTTCTGCTAGCATATAGTTCTTTTTATCCATCAAAAAAATCAACAATAATCTACTCTATGATGTCAAATTACCATCAATAAGGGAAGGGTGTGATGTGGAATTTAGGGTTTGAGACGGCATAAATTTGTAGAATTTAAAACCACAATTGAGGACACTGATCACTTAAAATTTTCATGAAAAATAAAATGAAATCCGAACAAGCAGCTCTTTATTTACGTCAAAATGCCTCAAGGTAGGTGTCAGTTGTCATACCTAGCATGTTCAGGATCAAAAACAGACATGGGAAGAGGCCAAAAGGGCATTTCAAGTTTATAGATGCCAAGAATATATTTTAATCTCCAAAAATTGGAGATTGGTAATGATAAATTTAAAAAGATAAATTGTTCAACCGACTCAAAGATCTTGCTGGTGCACACAAACTTTTCAAATTAGATCGGGGTCTGCCCGTTGAACGAAGGTACCGAAATGACGGAGAGAACCTCTGTGACAGAAGCCATTGCACTCAATGCTGCTTTAAGAACCTCCTGTGAGCACCCTGGTTTCACAATGCTTCTCACCTGAGAAGAAAAATACAAGATGTGAGAAAAGATAAATTTAAATAGATGTGTGTACAAATTCATGCATGTTTTCAAATAACCACAGAATTAACAAGATAAGAATCAGAGTTAGGAACCAGAGAACCTTATCAAGATACTCTTGCAGCTTCTTGATCCGGCCCATGTAGTCCTGGTCTTCAACGCACAGGGTCACCGTCTTAGCATCAGCACCCGGACCTTCAAACTGAAGGGGTCCTGGGTTTCTGTACACATCGTCCATCAAAAATTTGGCTGCATTTTGTCTAAGCAATCTGTAACAACACCCGCCAAGGAAAACACAACAAAAAGGGAAGAAACGTATATATTAGTCTAACATCAACGAACGCAGGGAAATTATGACTTCTATGCAAATCGGAATCTAGATGATTCACCACGTTATGTTGTAGACATCTATCTTGCAAAAGAAAAGATTGCACTTCATCTTTATTCAAAATGTAAAAATAAGATGATTCTCAGCTGCAGGTTTATTTTGCTCAAAAAATAGGGTCCATTTGGTTCACTGTCAAAATCGGAATTTTTTTTACTCAAAAACATCACCTATTCCGCCTGTTTAGTTCCGATGGTAATTGAAATCGAATGAATTCCATAATATATATGCACAGACCCCAAGGAGGGTTTGCATTGGGTAAAATAGGGCTTTGGAGGGTTTAAAGTCGCTAGTCTTTTTTTGGCCAGCTAAAATGAGATTCTCATTTCCAAGGGGGAGGTTGGAATGGCCATTCCCTCAAATGTGGAAATACCACTCCACCCAACCAAACGGCCAATCCCATACTCCTATTCCTGTGAACCAAATGGACCCTTAAATTTTGTTTTGTTTTTTACCAAGACTCCAAGTAAACATCAACAAAAGACAACATAATAGAAACATACCCATATGCTTTGCCTTTCAGATCAACAGGGGCAGGATGAACAGCAGGTTTTCCAATTGAAGCAGCCCTCGGACCATGTGACCATCGCTTTACTGTCATCATTGCCTAACCAAAAGAAAACAATCAACAATTTTATTCTGAAAAACAAGCATTGTCCAAAAGAACACAAACAATTGAAGTAAAGTTAACCATCTTTCAAGAAGAAAGCACAGAAGGGAATGCAATAAACTTTGAAGATTGTGATGTTCTCAGTAAATGCATTCAATGATAGAGATCAGAGCTACCAAGAAGGCATTTAACAAAGTCTTCTAACTGTGCTGCATAAAAACTTCCCAAAACTACAAATCAAGATGAATTTTGACGCTCAAATATTAACAGAATGGAGAACCAACCGTAATTGGAGCAGCTCCACATCGCCACTTGTTCACAGGATTTTTCAGGTTGGTTATGGTTGCCATATAACCATTCAAACCAGCTGCTAGAATGTGATAGCATACGTGTCCAAGAACCTTCATGAATTCAATTTCTGGTTACTGCAAATGAATAACAGATAACCAAGTAGCCAAGAATAGTTATAATAACCAATGAAAACATACATAGGCATAATCGCAGTCAAATTTTGATGGCAAAGATCCACGAGCCTGATAGCCAAAAAAATGGCAAATAGCATTAAATTTCTTCCCTTTGTAAGTGCCTTCTTTCTGTTCCAAGTCACCAAAGAAATCAGTAATCAGAATGACCCAAGGCAAAAAGAGACCCTGAATATGGCTGACTGGAACCAAACCCTTGGAAAGAAATAAGTTATAGTCTATTCTCCATGCATGCATTTTGTCCACAAAGAGGTACGTCTTATAGCATTTACAAATAACAATTTACCAATTTGAATGGGTCCAAAACAGAAAAAGAAAATGCCAAAGAGAACTCAGATCCAGTGGAACAAAAGGGGAGAAAAAGGCAAGAGGCGTGCATGCACATTCCATTTTTGAAAAGAGTGTCTTTTGTTGGGTGAATGATGTAATACAATATAATATTTCATTGTTGAAAATAACATTGCAATGTTTCCTTTTTCAAAAATATACTATATGGACTTCAGAAAACTCACGTTCACTTCTTTTCCATGATCACCCTCAAAAAAGTTTGGTGACCAAAAAACCTCTAAGAACAAGTAAAAATACAGCAAGACCCAAAAAAACAGGATCAACAACCCATAGATGCATCCCTAGGACTATAGCATGAAAAGTATCTCACAAAAACAGAGTATCCCAACATAGGTGGATTCTATGGAAAACATCCTTTGGAATAGAAAAATTAGAAAGAGAAATAGAATATCCAGTATGCAATAAAATATTAAAATCATCAATAAAACAAAATATGAAATTACCAGTTAAAAATAGTAAAGAACAAGAACAATAACATACAAAAGAGTAAAAGAAAAGCAAAATGAAAGGTACAGAGAAGAAACACATTGTATTAAAACTTACCAAGCGTTTATTCATTTCTGCCTCCACCAAATGTGCCAAGAGTTTTTCAGTCTCAATCTGAAGATGAAAGCAAAAGTAACATAAATAAAATGATAGGTGTCCATGACTCCATTAAATCACCATCAAGAATTCAAATCTCCATACCTGGGACAATTGAGCTGAATCATCAGACTCGGGGTGAAGGAGCAGCTGCACCACAAAACATCAGGTTTCAGATGACAATCATTACTGATTATAGTTTATATAAATCATCAGGAATGTCTTTCAATTAATGTGAACAGGAGAAAATTTGAACCTGTCTTTTGATAAAGTGGGGCAAAAATTCAAACAAGGCAGATGCCCAAGGTGAAAGTTGTGAAGAAATGTTTTCAACAGAGACACCTTGCCTGTGCAACCCATGAATTTCCTGAGGTGTTGCAATACCAAAGCATAATTTCAGATCAATGGATTCAATTATGATATATGAGACTTTGAGAACAGTTTATCAGCTTTAAGTTCAGCTGAAAATAACCTACGTAAAAAACAATGCCAAAAAAACATATATTCCAGAAAAAAGATGCATGTATGATGTAACTGTGAGCTACCTGCAAAAGAGCATATATTTCAGGAATGCTTTCTATAAGCCCCTCTGGAAGTAAGATAACCCCATGATACTTGTCTAATCAGAAAAAAAAAGGAAAAAATAGCATAAGCTATTGTCATGATAACAACAAAATTAATTGTAATATTACTAATATATTTTCAAGCTAACTATTCCAAACCTTGTTCGACCCTGGCTTGAACTGCATCACAAATTTGTTGTGTTATGTCAAAAAGAGTGAGCTTTGATGAAGCAACCTCCTCACCAAGGATCACCTGAGGGATACTTGCAGAAAACAAACTATATTTAGAAGCCAGGAAGATAAAGCAATTTTGTAACTATATCAACGAGTGCAATGTCTGATGGGAAAAGCTGACCATATTTGGATGTGACTGGAGAGTACATTCCAAAGCAACATGCGATGCTTTCCGGCCCATGAGTCGGATAAAGTAATAATACTGGGAAAAAAAAGATACAGAAATTGAGGATCCAAATAGGTGATCTATCAATTAAGTCCAAAAAAAATGTACAATAGTGAATACATAGTCAATTTGAAAGCAGAAACAGAAGAAGCTATGACCAGAATGTAGAGCCCATGCAGTAACAAGAAGGCCATTACCCAATGTTGGCACCAGCTATTTGGGACCTTTGGCACAAAGTGGCACACTCAGACTTGAACCCACAATCTCATACTTGACAGACCAAGATTTTACCATTACACCAAGTAATGGTTCATTTTGACAGTACCCCCCTTAGCCTAATTTTCTAAGCCTCCAAAAAACCACCAATTGTTTCCATTGCAGAGAATACCAGCCAGAATAATTACTATATTCATGATTGACTAAACGAGATCTCTTTGCTCACCAATAAACTTCTAGTCAACATAGTCTATTCCCTACATAAACATAACTAAAGGTAGATTTGGAAGAGAAGGAAAGAAAATGAGAGAACTACATTTTCATGGATATCAAATAAATTACCTTCTCAGCAGAGAGAGCATCAGTGCACACATTGCTGATGAGCTGAGAATTGACCTGAAGGAGCAGGGGAGGATCAAGATTAGCAATTTCTTTGGATAGTGTGAATTGAATAACTTGTGCATAGAATGCTTGAGGAAAGGGAGAACAAAAAAATATATCTGAATCGCCTATCCAGGTTTTACAAACAGCTACAAATACATATATATACCAGTATGTTACATTGAAACACCGTCAAAGTCATTAAATCATCTATAAACAGTTTAAAATATACCTGATCCACTCTTTTTACAAATTTATTCTGGAGCAATAACATCTTCGTAATATTAATGAAATGTCATTCCCCTTTTATTTAAAAATATGTGATTATCCAAAAGTCGGCAATGGGAAAACCTGGATAGTATTAACATTTTCAATACCTGGAAATAAAAGATTGACTTTTGGATAATCATATCAAAATAGTATTTAACATTTTCAACACCTGGAAATGTTGAACTATTGATTTTCAACCCTGATAGTTAAAGAAGAGCCTGGAATTAATAAACTGTAGAAATTTCAAATATTCTCAATGAAGCTAACATAAGTTTTCCGACATGCACAAATATCATACTATTCAACCTTTATTAATATCAATAATCATGGAAAAAAAAAGAGTAATACCTTACATATTGTATCAAACCCAACATTAGCTTCAACAAACTGGTTTTTGAGGTCTCCATTCAATGTAACTGGAACTCCAACCACCTAAAAGGCCCAAACATTTATGTTACCAAAATACACAAAATAAAAAAAGCAAATAAGACATTAAGAAAAGAAGAGAATTCAGGGCATATGTTTTAGGTGCGCAAGGGCTGCATCAAGCATTACAATATTGTAGGCAAGTTTTGTAAAATTAAAGATGCCTAAGAAATACTCAGAATACATTAAAGACATAAACCTAGTGCTTCAAATTAAAGCCTCATTAAACTATCCTAGAATGAAGTACCTTTGTTGCGCATTTTTCTTCTGCAAATGTCTCAGCAAGCTGAGCAGCATCAGTGTTTGATGTTACACCTTCAAAAATTAAAAATGTATTTAATTATAAGAAATTCTAGATCTCTATAAGCCTACAACATATTGTAAACTCATTTGCAAAAAAACTGTATCTACCTCCAATTATGACAAGGCCATCCAATTTCAAAGCTTTGCATGAGGCCAATGCAGCATTAACCTGTTCAGATGTTCTTATTTGATCTTTCGTCCGGCCAAGCAAATCATATCCACCTTCACAAATTAAACCACATAAACCTCTTGACTTGATTATCCCATTGCTAATAATACATAAATGGCAGAATGGCATTTCAAGGTGCTTGCTACTCTAAGGCAATGTTTGGTTTGAAGGAAAAGGTAAGGAAAGGAATGGAAATATAGGAAAACCTATACAAGGTTTGTAAAGGTTTCGCTACATTTCCCTTCCTTTCCGTGCTTTTTCCTTCAAACCAAACACAGCCTAAAAGTTAAAGCATTAGAGATCGATTCAAGGGAAAACATTTGGTAGATTTTTCTAGAGTTAAAAGGGGATGCATGTGAACCTTGGTTTTTGTATGAAGAAAGAATATCATCTGTGATTTCAAGGGTTTTCTGAGCAAATAAACCTTCAGTACCACCTGCATCAGAAAAGAAGAGGAACCAACATTGATGAAATTGTGTTGCTGTCTGAGCTCTTGAGGGAAACAACATTCATTGTCAACCACAACATCAAACTCATGCTAGATGGCCTTAACCCCAAATAATTTATTTCCACATGTTCATACTGCATATAACCAAATGGACCACAACTACACAATAAGTTACCAATAAATCCAAAAGGATAAAACCACTCCCAATGACACTTACCAATAAATCCAAGCAGAACATTGTTAGAATTGTGGATTTTAAGAGCACTGTGAAGGCCCCAGATGACATTATGCCCTCCTGGAGATTGTCTCCCACAGAAAACCACTCCCACCCTGTAAGGAACAATTTGATAATGTAAAACATAACTCCACTTACAAAGCAGGATATACAACATACAACATGTACTAACCACTGCTGCATAAATGCAATAAAAATTGTTGAAACCCTTATAAATTTAGAGAAAATAGGCATTGACACAACGTGTGAAGTAGAAGCTTGCCACTCAAGTTGTCCACACTCCACAGATATCATTCTTAGTAGAGAAGTACGGGTTGAGTTTAACGTATCCCTTAAATTTATCACAGTAGCATCTCTCAAATGGGGGAACAGAGGATACATGAATAGACCAATAGATTTCATGACAAGGATAATCAGACTCGACCAAAAATCAACAGATGGCAAAAATTAAGTTTCAACTGATAACATTAAGCACCACGAGTAAAAAGATAAAGAAAGCCATCATCAAACATATACCTGATTGCTGGATGCTCTGTAATTATCTGAGCATCAGGAACCTGGGCCTTGGGCCTTAGAAAGTGTGCCAAGGGCTGGCCATATGTATGTGGAAAAGCCCGACTGATGCTGTGGGCACCAGAAGGATCTGCAGTTGTGGTTGCATCACCAAATTCCACCCTGACCGTTGTTCCCTGTCAGTAGGAAATATACGATCAGAAGCATGATGGCACATACAAGAAGCGTCCCAGAGATGAAGATAAACACGCTGCAACGAATACATTTACAAAATATAGTAATCAAAAAGCACATGAATTCAATGCATCTTGTGGTCTGCTTCGATTTCAAAACAGCTTAAGACAGATGCACGGGAAAATTCGCCCACGCTACTTCCAAGTAGAAAAATGAACGGACTGCATTAAAAATCTGAAAAACAACAGACAAGATGGAAAAACTCTTGGTTCTATAAGACAGCGGCGCCAATGCAGGCACTAAATCGAATAAAAAAAAGATGAATGAGAAGAATATTCAAATCAACGAAGACTCGACTTACTCGTGCTCCACTAAAAGGGAGGATAAACAATATAGTTCTGAAGATCCGAATTTTGATTCAAAAAGAAACCAAAAACGATAATATATTTTCTATGAAACGAGAAGGAAATATGCAAAGCATGAATATAAAAACATAGAACCAACTACCAAGAGAAAATTCTGTTCATCCAGAATGGAACTAAAAAAGGGAAAGAGGAAAAAAGGACGAGAGAAAAGGGAAAAGAAGAAAAAGGAACCGAAACCCTAGAAGAGAGAAAGTAGAGGCTGTGCCTGCAGACAAGGTGGAAGTTCCGGCTCGTAAAGAGCACGATATTTTTGCAGATCTGAGAGTTGTCTGGGAATGCCAAAATCCGAATCCATTGTTGGCTGTGTTTCTGGTTTGCTTCGTCTGGATGGTAGCGGCGAATACAATGAAGAAGAATGCTACCACCTACCACTCGAAACCTGTTAAGTTGAGCGTCCAATTTATGATGTATCCCTCCCTCCCTCCCTATAGTTGGTTGGAAACTTGGAACTTGGAAGGCCGTCTTCGCTTGTTCGTACAGCAAAGATGCAAAGATACTGGGCGAGGTGGTATGTATGCCAAGGGCCAATGAGTAGTAAGCGGGTGCGGGTCTGAAAAAAAGTAAGGGTAACTAAAGAGTTAGGATCTCCTGCCAACAAACAGGTTCCAACACACTACCAACATTTCCTGAAACCACAGACTCCGGATCTCCTGCTTGTGCCCACGTCTGTGTGGCTGCGATTTATGTGGGTAGACGTGGGTAAAATTCTTATGGGCAAAAGATTCGGATTTGAAATCATATACCTCACCATGAGATGTGGACTCACTGTATATGAGATATGCGGTGTTAGATATGTTAGTAGGGTATTAGAATGTGTTTTATTGGCTATAGAGATCTAGTCTAATAAGTTAAAGAAAAAAAAGTACGCCAATTAACTAGAGAGTGGGTAGAGGAGGAAGTGTGTAAGGAAATCTAGTTACCAACTGACCAACTAGATTATAGGGTCCTTGACCCCTATAGACACATTTATCGGATTTTTTTTCCTCTTTTCTTTTTGATAATTTATTAAAACACCCCTGTAATTTATGACAAAAGACTTAAACCTCTTTTCAAATTTCTCCTAAAGAATGAAATCTAAATAGACTAAGACATCCCTTGTTTGCTGATGTCATCAGACTAAGCCTCCCTTCTGTTAGTATTAGTATTCAGTCAAGATCCTTTAAAATGTGAGATACATGTCAATAATATTTTTTTTTAAACCCAATTTTACCCCGGTCCCTTCTAATCAATTTTGCTCATCCACAAAAATCAGAAGGCGTGTGATTCAAGTCAATCAAGCTATGAACAACTAACAATCTTCAAAAGTAACAACAGAGATGCAAGTAGAAAATTGAAGGAACCAAATCTATAGTCCTTCGGTCCTCTTCTCTGACCTATAACGACTATTACATTAAAGCCATTATCCAAACCATGAACAGCTTTTCTTCTCTGCTCATAGATCTTTAGTCGCCTATACAACCCTAAGTAAATAAGTAGAAAACAGCGGCAACATCACTACTTCAGCTGATGATCAACAATGACGAGGAGAATACTACAATAGTTTATAGTTTTATACTTCTGCAGTTCAATTGCATTAAGGTTTCTTCTCGAATCAATAGTACTTTTTCCCTTTGTGGAATAAGACTAAGGCCCTTTCGATTTTTGATAAGTTATTTATCTGGGTAAATGCACTTACCCAAATAAGTATTTCTTCTTGTTCTTTTATTTCTCCTGTAAATGAAGCAATGGTCATTTTAGCCATAAAAATCCGTTATTAAAAGGGGCATTTTTATCCCATCAAGTGTTGGCAATTTTCCCCCTACGTGGGAAAGTTATTTACCCACCTAGGAGATGGGTATCACTTACCTGCGTAGGTAAGTGGTACCCAGGAAAATAAACTTTCCCTGGTCCCTACATGAATCTGAAAAAAGAACATGGGATTCTTGGCCAATGAGAATTAAAATCTTATTGACCAACTTTCCCCTCTCTCAAAATCTGAAAAAAAGAGCACCCCCTAAATGTATCTCGTCTTTTTTCAAATAGCATAATTATCTAATATTTTTTATGATAATGGATTTTTTATTGATTATAAGAATTTGATCTCCGATTGTTTCTTCGGACATTGTTAGATTGCAAGACAGAGGGTTTGTGCTCATGGGCATTTTATAGATGGCATATTAAAACTTCAACATCGTCACCTTTGGGGACATGACTTTCTGGTTATGAGATTTATGGTTAAGTTTCAACATTGTTCTCCATTAAAATGCAAGTGAATGGAATTCCCTTTTGTTTCAACATGGCTACTAGTCTAGTTAGAGGCTTGGAGAAGTTACAATATTCTTTTGATTAATTTGAGTTAACTATGTATTTTTGTTTTAGATTGTTACAGTTTAGGTGGTTCTCTTTGAAAATTTGAAAATTAATTAGGATAAAATAGTCTTTCATAGATTCTGTCAAATATGCCAGCACATTTTACTGATAAGGGAGGTTTAAGTCCTACGAGAAATAAGAGGAGAGGTATAAGTGTTTGTGAGAAACATCGAGGGAGGTTCAACTATATTTTAACGCATTTACTAAGGTGGTGTTTGATAAATATGAAATCTAAAGTCTGAAAAGTTAAAAAGATATTATTTGTGTCTGAAATATGAAAAGAAACATATATGTTTTTTTACTTTTTAGAGGCTCTAAATAGATAAGGTTGTTTGTCTTTGATCAAACTTTCAATATCTAAAATTCTCTGATTTTACTATTTTACCCATAGAAAAGACTATTTGGTAATTTTGAGTTCAATTTGCACTATCTCATAAAAAATGATTTATTAAATTCAAAATAATATTGAAATAATACGAATAAAAATTAATACAATAATTCATAATTAATAATTAATAAATGACACAAATAAGAATTAATAAAAATATTGAAATAAGTAACACTAGTAAAGATTAAAATAATTAATAAAAAATAGTAAAATCAATAATTAATTAATAAGTAATAATTAAAACAAATAAATAATTAATATCTAATAAAAATTAAAATAATAATTTAATACAAAAATTCATAAAAGAGTAAACAATAATTTATTCAATTCAAAATAACATTGAAAATTATGAATACATTAAAATTACAAATAATTGATAAAAATAAGAATAAAATCTAAAAATATGTACAAATTTAAGAATTCCACTTGAAATTTTTAAAAATTAAAAATATATTATTAAAAAATAAAATAATATTGAAAATACAAATAAATTCCATGAATCCGTGCTAATAATTAGAAAAATAATATCTTAAAAAGTAATAAAATATTTAATAATTATTAACAAATAAAATATTTAATAACTAATACAAATAAAATGATAAAAAATTTAAAAGTAACAAAATATTTAATAATCATGAAAAAAAATTAATTAATAAATATAAGTTTCATAAAAATTATAAAAAAAAAATACTTTACTTTCTAGCATGGGAAAGCTTTAAGGGTGAAAGTCAGGTCTGTTTGGAATAGATTAAAATCAATGCTTCCTTCAAGTGGTGAAGCTCAAACCAATGGAAAGGAACTAGAAAAAGCTATTGGTGCAGGAGTTAAGACATTGAGAGAACCCAAAATGTGGGTTCCAAATCTATATGTAACCATGGTCAATGGTGACTGATGGTGCGCGATTTGGAAGCTCCTAGCTGAGGAACTACTTGGACATACTTGCGTGGTGAGCTAGATTGATCTACAAAACAATGCTCAGAGGGACCGGGGTGGCAAACCCGGTGAGGTCGCTCTTATGCTTAAGTCAGTATGCTATGTCTTTTGCGAGCTAAGTATGAATGCTAGAGAGCTTGGATGTGAATAATCGCGCGTACCTTCACTTTGAGGATCGATGCCCTTATATAGTTGAGTAGTCGTAAATCTTACGAAAAGGCTCTGGGATCTCCGGGCTGCATAGATAAGATCCGTTCCGTTTCTGAAGGAGAGCAATGCGCCAATTGATTAGGTTTATCACTTTCTTCCGATTCGGGCGGAGTGAGGATGAACCCTGTTATTAGATGTCGTGATCCCGGGAAATTCAGAGTCCGTCGGGGAAGCTTCTGGAGTCGATTACGTGGCGCTTCGATTCTTTGGCCCCAAACTGGCATTTCGGTTCTTTGGCCCTGAACTAAATTGGGTGCCAAGGTGCCTTTATGCCGAGGTGGTTTTGGGCCGAGGTGACCGAATACCCAAGCTCTAACTTTTGCTGACTGGGCTCTTTTTCGCTGTGTTGTCATCCTTCGAGCAGATCGCGTCCACATGACCTCTACTTACTAGGTCGTGCCAAATCACCCTTCATCAATGACTACATCTGTTGTTATTATTCTTATCCACCTGTTACAACAAACGGCTCATGGCTTGTAGCAAACAGATCGTGCAAATTACAATATGGCAACAAAACTATTTGTGATGTCCAAGGGCAAACAAAAATTTATTGAGGCTCCTATTTAGCAACAATGGTGTGTACTAGGTGTAGTCAAGTATGTAATCTATCCACTATCATTCTATCCAATGTACTAGGTAATGATCCATTCCTATCAATTATTCATTATACATGCAGAACCACCATAAAACCAAAAAGTCATATTGATGAGAAAGCAACACTCAATTGATCATAGAATACTTAATGATGGATATCCATTGGCATCAGCATTGGCACATGAACATTAAAGAATTGGAGATCTTAGCAGTACTACATTACTCCCCCTTATATTAAAGAATAAATGTATGTAACAATGTATAGAAATATATATAATATATACAGTGACTTTAGAAAAAAATTCATCCTAAGACCATGCCCTAAACTTTATTTGGATATCATGTCGTTGCCATACAAAAAATCCCTTTCAATATCTGATTTATAATAGCTTTTCCTTCTTAACTCCCTTGAAACTCATTTTAGGATGACTTAGTTCTCAAGAGCTTTAGAATCTCATTGAAGATGTCAGTTGAGCACCACAGGCCCTTGGCAACCCCTTTGCCCCACTTAATAGGATTATATAGATCTCCTTTGATATCTTTTTCATTCTAAAGCATCTCTCTGTGGTTCTAGCTCTGCATTTAAGTCACAATAGATCTGCTGAGTGTTTCTATCCTTTGTTAATCGATTCATTTTCTGTTAAATAAATTGAAGATTACACCAAACCTTTTCTTCCCTCTTCCCTTACACGCGACCTCCTCTTTTTTTTTCCCTCTCACAATGAGAGTGTCTCTACATACCTGAAATGGCAGCTATGTAGACACTTGGAATTTATAACTTGAAAAAGAAAAAGACATGTAATGGGGTTCAATGCAGCACCAATGAATGGTTTACTAACCAAGAGAAATATTGATAAAAGAAAGAAGACTTTATATAAATAAGTAAATTGGGGAACAGGTTATCATCATCTGTTCTTTCTTCATCTTATGAATATTTTTATTAA